TAACAGAGTGAGCTTCAGAAAGCTCAGTAATACAGAACTACCAGATGATGCTGAAGAACGTGCAGATACATATGTTTTCTTATTGGTTCAGATACCTACAGATTTCTTTGGCTGAACTGAGGTCCCATTGATATTTCAGGTATTAACAGATAGTAATCAGTTTCGATGGAAAATATTTGAGATGTTTAGGTTCAGGAGATCAGAATAGGTTTTCTAGTGTGTTCCAAAAAACCATGTAACTTTTCAGATCTTTTTAAAACATATATATATATATATATATATACCCCCATCCGTCACAAACAAAATGTGTAGGTTCCCCAGAACCATACAACCGCGTCACGAATAGTAAGGCCCTGAGCACAAAGCCGAGGAGCCTCCAAGTATTCTTCCTCCAACGATACCCCCAATAAAACATGTTCCGTCTGTAAACGGATATATCAAAAATCAAAACATAATTCAAGTCAAGTATCAGATCAGAATTCAGGTCATGTATCAGATCAGAATCCATGTCAATATCAGATCAGAATCCAGGTCAGGTATCATAGCAAAATTCAAATTAGAAATCAGATAAAATATTCATGTAAATAGGGAACACACCAGAGTTTACATGTATTATTCAGAGGCACTGGATATATTAACAGGTAGAGGAACACATATCTTCAGTATACCGATAGAATATCGGAATTCAGAATCACTATTGGAAGAGTTCAATAACTGACAAAATCATCAATTATTTAGAATATGACTTGAGCTGATAAGGAAGAAATGAAGGTTCAGGACATTTACATTCTATGTCGATTGATCGGATTATCGGACAACTCTTAGATGAATAGTTCCCAGAACTAATATTTGTCGATTGATCAATTCATTAATTCATTGTTCTTCCAGGGTATTTACTCTTTATTACCACAAATTTTTGTCCATATATCATTTTTGGAATCATCGTTGAAAAGATCTTTCAATGTCTTTATTTCATTTCCACGCTTCCACAATATCATGTAATGTTGACGTATTTGATTATTTTAATCATAAACCATCGTAATTGTACACTATGTAAATTCATCAGAGTTCCAGATTTATCTAAATCACTTACTAAATCCTCAATCATTGAGGTTACCTAGTTCATTTAGCAATCATGTCCATTCCAGTTACTTCGGGATTTTCCAGAGTAATTCAAACGTTCTTGAATTTCAGATACATGTTGTACTTCCGTTCCATTCAATTTGATCTTCGTGGTTGATTTGTCGAACAAACGTCCAATTCTTAGTACTGAATGCGATCTAGAGTTGAGCTAAGCTGAATACTTCCAAAATTTATCACGAGCCAAACTTGAGAAGATGAGCACATATTCAAGTAATATATATGCCATCCAGGTACTAACATATCATTACGATTGATCAACTCACTTAAACTGTGTTCCATTACTTTTAAAGGTAGTCTAACACCTATGCTTATTTGGATTACTTATTTAATCCAAGACATTTACTTATTCTATGTCATAAGGGTATTTTGGTAATTTTAGTGTTCAATTTTATTCCATTCATTTCAGAGCTCAAGGATATCCAATCATTCATGGGCTTGGTGATATTCTTGGGTCATTTCCATTACAGGGGTATTCTGGTCATTTTACAGATCCAACGTATTACAATCATTTTCTTCCGTCCGATCTTACTATTGAATTCAAACTTATCATTTATTTCAGTCCCTTCGAACAATTCTGACAAAAGAACACCCTCGATAATTTATTCTTAACTCGGATATTTTCAGGTCAATTGTCTTCTCAGAAGTTACCAACAGTTTATCATAAATTTTCTGTACAAAGAAGAATCTTAACAATTAAATCCGTACTTAAACGAGTTAAGTACGAATCCTCAAAGTACTTTATCATTCTGGGTCAACTCATATTATTTTACCTCTCAATGGCATTTTCGTAATTTCTTAACCAGATAATTTCGATATTAGCTCTTAACGAAAATAATATAATTTAGAGATCCTATGATTAAATGCTTTCTTGAACACTCTCTGATCTTAAAATGATTCTCTTAACAGACTTCTAGTATCCTTCACAAACCCTCCTAGAATTAAAAATCCGTTATCCATAATTTCCAAATAAAACTAACATTTTTTATGCACATCAATATTTTTATCAGATCAATATGTATGTAAAAACCTCTTATCCAACTTCCATATTTAAATCTCGTCTTTTTATAACATAAGGGTATTTTCGTAATTTTACCCTACCGGAGTATTCTCATAATTTCTCATCCAAATACCTTTAACATTTAACCTTTGATGAAAAAAATTATAAGTTAAAGATCCAGGTTGATTTCTTTATCACTAAGCACATAACTTGTAATTTAATTCTAACAATCTTTCAATTTCTTATAAAAGTCATCTGAACCATAATCAATTACAGAACTTGTTTACCGTATTCAGATCGAGTGTAGAAATTAATTAACTACACATATGAGACTAACATTATCTTAATCAAGTATTTACCAATATTCACATGTTCCATAAAGCATAAAGAGGTAGTAAAGTATTACCTCGAGTTCCGTGCAAAACTGATCGACCATAAAAATTCCATTTGAACGCCTTTGATCTTTAATTCAGCATCCAATAATTCCTCGGATCCATATAAACAGAAATTACATAAAAAACAGAGCTTAATTCTGGAAAAACGAATCGAATCGGATGATAAATCAGTAAAAAACAACTTACTGGGTTCGAATTTGGTGAAACGGACTTCGGATTCGGATTCAGGACGTCGAAAGCATAAAATATGACTTTTCAAAAATTTGAAATTTTCGGTCAAAATGAAAGTCAACGAGTTTGACTGGCAATTTCGAGGCTTTCCGGTCTGAATTTCGAAAAACGGACTTCTGAATCAGATTCGAAACGTCGAAAAACGCCAGGATATGTATACTCGGTCAAAGTCAAAGGTCGTTTAATGCTCGGTCAACACCGGTCAAAGTTCTAGTCAATTGTGGTCAACGGTCAACAATCGACCATTTTACACAAATATCACCCTAACATAAATTAATTACAAAATTAGCCACCTTCTGTAAATATTTACGAAACTAACACCCAAATTTTACACAAATAGCACCCAAACAGAAATTAATTACAATCATACGATGCCCACTCTCAGGGGTGGCGCGTGCGGCGCGTAAACAGTGATACGGTGTCGGAAAATTAACGAAAAAATTTCTAAAAATTATTTTAAGGCATTTTGAGACACTTACATATCTCAGTTCATAATTTTGAACGGCGGAGAGCTCGATTCCGAAACATCGAAAACTTTGACGGTCTCACCCCTTCACGCACCGGCTACGACGGAGAACACCAGTGGACTCGGAACGATGCAAGGAACACGATGATGCATGAGGTGTCGAAAATTGATCATCGGATCGTCGTGAATCGACGAAAACCCAACTGAAATCGAGTTATTACCGACGATACTTCCGACTGAAATTAACAATGAACGACGACGATTCACGACAAAAGGTTTGAGGGGTTTTGTTTCTCGATCGACAACGAACACGATAGTGGTTTCGGTTCGTCGATCGGAGGTCGAACGACGAGTAGATCAGAGTTGAAATGAGGATTGTTGGAAAGAAAAAACTGAAAAATTTCTGCTGAACTGCTCACGGGGGAGAGTTTTATAATTCATCAAATAAAAAATAGTCAAATCATGGGTTTAGTCACTGAACTTCTTGCACTTCTTAAAATGAACTACCAACTTTACGATTTTACAATGTAATCCTCAATATTCTTCCAAAATACCAATTAAATCCAATACTTTATAATTTCTAAAATTTAGCCCCTAAATTGAGGTGTTACATACCTCGCGTTTTGTATAACGCGAGATATGTTAATTACCACACGCGATAAATTTCTCTGGACGTCTCAATATCTCGGAACCTCACATTAGGTCATTAATTGAAATATTAAATCACATTTTCTTAAAAGTGTATCCACATACACCTTTACTTGCTTTTTGGAGGTCATTAACCTCCAAAAAAGCAAGAAAAGCACACACATGTACAAGAAAAAAAGGGGGTTTCTCTACTCAATCTAAGGGTTGTAGCAATGACAACATAGGACCACATTCGTTAATGTCACAACAGCAATTCATAAGTGAGTTGGATTGTACAATTGTCATATCCCCACAAAACCCAAAAGCCTAAATCAAGCTGAATTGACATCAACGACCGATGAATCAAATGTTAAAGTTTATTTGTCCTGTCCTTATCTATGAACCATCTCTCAGGTTGTAAAAACGGTACACGCCATTTAAACAACTATTTTAGAACTTTACAGTGACGTTTGAGTGATTTGAAGTGCATAGAAATGTTACTTGTGGCTTTCATCTTCATCAAATGTGCAAGAATGCATCATGGTTGCATTATGGTCAGATAAAGAGACATGATATGCGATTTCTTGCAAGAGAAGTATATAATCATGTTTTATCACATGGTGTCAGATTTTGACACGCATCTCTTGTTGCAAACAAATACAAGTTCCCTTCCTTGCACACAATTTTTTTACCAAACTTTGCACTGAGATATCAATTAAGTTGATAAACACGTGAATGAATTCCATGGATAAGCATTATACATTATCAAGACATTCCTTGTAATTTCTAACATAAAATTTTTCGTTTGTCCATGTCGCAACCTAAGAATTGAAGCGGAAAGAAGGGCACAAAATGAGAAGTGTTGCATGATTATACTAGAAAAACATCCAATTCCTAGTCCCCAATCCTCTAAAGAACAGCTCTGCTATGAAAAATACAAACAAAAAGTTGAATTACTTCTGAAAATGAATTCTTGGATTCTCTGCTAGTTTGGGATTAAGGCTTTTGAATGTTGGAGGGGATTTGATGGATCAGATACATACTTTCCATAAGTGCAGGTGATATAATCATATAAAATTAAACTGACCAAAGTTTCACAGAAATGTTCATGCTAGATGCTAATGCAAAACTTCAAACACCATTAAATTAAATAAATCATCAATTCATTTCACAATAAAGTTGATGGGAATATACAAGACAAACAACAAATAGCAAAGATTAGTATAAACCTGTATTCAATTCTCTGTAATCTAAAATATTCATCTCGATACAAGAACAGATGGTATAAATATATATATCATGTTATCTGAAGCACCTTCTAAGTAGCACAACAAAAACAAGAACACACACGAAAGATTAAAAGAAGAAGAAGAAGCTCTTTATGATACAAAAGACAAAGAGAAAAGCTTACCCTTTTTTCTTCATCCCGTCTCTCTAATCCGTATCGGAAGGTAAATACGATGCACCGGCAGGCGAAGCTGCGGCACTTGATTGTAATTCCTCCGCCATCAATTTCTCTAACCCGGGCTTCAATTCCCTGTTACAGAAATCCTCATACTCTCCTCGTTCCCCTCCTTTCTTCTTCACTTCCACAACGACCAAAGAAGGCGTTAACTCGAATATCTCAGCTGCAATCGACAATCGCCCTTTGACTCCTTCTCTAGAACCCTCCAAGCTCACTCTGCAATCCTTTTTCCTCACTGTGAAACTAACCAAATTCGCTATCTCCTCCAATTTCGATATGATTTTCGAAACCGGCGCACCGGAGACATACCGGGACCCTTCCTCTCCTTCCTCAAACAATCCAGATAAATTGAACCCCGGGGAGAATGAAATAATATCAAATGCATTTAAACTAGCTGGTCTGGGCAATGTGCCAACTTTCCTCCTGGGTTCCATCTCTGTTTCGGATTCAGACATCGATGACTCTGAACACGCATCATTATCATCATCCTCAACGCTGCAAAGTTTATCATCTTCAATGTAAAATCTAATATGTTTAAATCCCTTTTTGAACCAACGCCTCTCCATGATTTCTGGAATTGTTATTCTCGTTTCTTGGTTCGTGTCCAGAAGCTTGGTGAGTAACCGAATTAACTCAGGTGAAAACCATCTCGGACACCTGAAGTCACCCTTGTAAATCTTCTTATACATAGCCATGATGTTCTGATCTTGAAACGGTAAATACCCAGCCATTAGAACGAACAAAATCACTCCGCAAGACCAGATATCTACTTTCGCCGCATCGTATCCTTTCTTCGCCAATACTTCGGGTGCCACGTAGGCCGGCGTCCCACAAAACGTATGGAACAAACCGTCTTGCCGGATCTGATCCGAAACCGCGCTCAACCCGAAATCGGAGACTTTCAAATCCCCGTTTTCATCGAGGAGCAGATTCTCGGGCTTCAGGTCTCGGTGGTAAACGCCGCGAGAGTGGCAGAAACGGACGGCCGAGACTAATTGCTGAAAATATTTCCTGGCGACGTCTTCTTTCAATCGACCTTTGGCTACTTTGTTGAAGAGCTCACCGCCACGGACGAATTCCATGACGAAGTAGATCTTAGTTTTCGTGGCCATGACTTCGAAGAGTTGCACGATATTCGGGTGGCGCACGCGGCGGAGGATGGAGATTTCGCGCTTGATGTGAGCGATTAAGCCGCTTTTGAGAATCTTCTCCTTGTCGATCACTTTGATGGCTACGCTTTCACCGGATTTGACGTTGCGCGCGTGGTACACTTTCGCGAAAGTGCCGTGACCGAGGAGTTTTCCGACCTCGAAGCGCCCCAAAAGAAGGGCTTGGCCGCCGCTGGCGGCGTGTTTCTTGGCAGAGGTAGCGGCGACAGAGATGGAATCCATTGATGGTAGATGTTAGGGTTTGGTTCAAATGAGACGAAAACGGAATTCGAATGGTTAATGATCGGCCATTTGAAGAATTCCTTTGGCTTTTTTGTGAGTTTTGTTGAGAGGCTGAGTTGAGTGAGTGGCCTAAATGAAATTGAATTTGTTACAAGGTTATGGAAGGTGATGCTTTTATGGAGGAGCCGAATATACTCCCAACAAAAGTTTTAATGAAATCCGGTTAATATATTGTTTTGTACATAAACTTGTCATTTTTATAAATATTATACCTATTTTGCTCAATCAATTTATTATTTGATTTTTACATAAAGTTTTCTTAAAATAAATTTAGTATCTATATTTGGAGAGGTGACAATAATGACATTTTGATTGGGTTTAGGTTGAATTAATTCGGATCAAGTTAAGTTAGTTTTATATTACATTTGATTTAGTTTTTATTTTAGTTAAATTGAATCTGATTCGAATTAGTTTGTATCTATGATAAGTTGGGTTTACGATATAGATTTAGATGTTTTTTGTCTTTATTTTTAAATAAATATAATGATAAATTTATTATTATAATTTATTTTTCAAAAAAATTGAAGGATTCTAAATTAGGTTTATGAGATTCAGAGTATTTTTTGACAGAACCAACAACGTATTCATGTTCATGAGATTAAAAATAATGGACTAAGACTTTTGAGGCATAATGATTGTTTACAAATAATAATGGGTGGCGACAGACGTTGATGAGCAACAACATGTAATAACATTTTTGATTGAATTTAGAGGTTAATTTGATATTTTATCTAAATTTTAAAGATTAAATTAATATTTTATCTTGAATTCATGGATCAAGTTAAAGCTTAATAACTTTTACTAATGTATGATATCATCAAACCAACAAAAATCAATGATTTAGTGATCAACGTTTATGATTTACCCTTTAATATTTTGTTTATAATAAAAATCAATAGTATACCTATTAAAATTTAAATACTAATTTAAAAATAGAAATAATAGTTTGAGGATCTCTTAATTAAATTATAAAAATGAAAACTATGGTGATGCTAATTATGATGATTTATTCTTGTCTCGGATTATTATAGTCGTGATTTGGACAGTAGTATAAAGAAAGTAAAAAACAGCAGTAGGATGGGAGGAATCTACGTGGGGGGGAATTAAGGAAAGAGAGAGACACGGTGACCAATTCATCGGTGACAACTGAACAAAGTCGACCGGTCGACACACACACAGACACAGCTGGTTCCAATGCCGACGTGCAAGTTGGGGGCGTGTTATGACTGTCATGTCTGTCGTTTGATGTGCACAGTTTGATTACATCCCGCTTTCACAAATATATGGGTAATTTATATGTTTAGCATGTAAACTATTATTATTCTTCAGTCTTTATATTTAAATTTTAGGATAAATTATGCATTTAATACTTAAATTATAGTTTTGATCTATTTTATAAACTTTTAATTTTTTAAGTACTTCACCATTAAAAAAATTAACTTTGATTTGCATATGATACTTTTTATGAGTAAACCGCATCATCTATCACTCAACTATCTTTTTACCCTTATTTAACTATTTTGGTGATTAAAGTTTAGATTTTTTTAATTTAATTACTTAACTTTCAAATTACTTGCATTTAGGTTCTCCAACTTTTAAAACTTGCAATACAGTCATCAAACATTTATATCTTTTGCAATATGGTCCTCGACGTAACGACCGTTTCACTTCCGTTAGGGTAAATTATATAAATGGTCACTGAAATTTTTAGGCACTTGCATTTAGGTCCCCAACTTTTAAAATATACAACACAGTCATCAATTATATTAAACCCCAAAATCCAAAAATTTTCAATTACATTTTAAACCTCAAATTCTAAAATACTTCAATTACATACCCAACCCCAAATTCGTAATCTATTCTCAAAATCTACCATAACAAATTAAACTTAAAGAAACAACCCTAAACCCTCAAAACATAATCGTTTCAAAAAATTTAACCAACTATAAGTGAACAATAAGTGATTATGTTGGGTTTAGGGTTATGTTGGACCTAAATACTCAATTCAGTTTATAAAAATAGTTGACTCGAATTTTTTTTGATTTGATTTTATAAAATTTAAATCAAGTCGAATTGAATTTTCAAGTTTCTGTTTAAATTTAATTATAAATATTTATCATATTATAATATTATTTGATTCTAATTCAGTTCAGTTTATAAAATAATTGACTCGAAATTTTTCGATTTGAGTTTATAAAATTTAAATCAAGTAGAATTGAATTGAATTTTCAAGTTTTTGTTTAAATTTAATTATCAATATTTATAATACTATAATATTATTTGATTATAATTTAAATAGTTTTTTAACCATATATAAATACATACATTTCTTCATATTTTTCTATATGTGATATACATATATCATACAGAGTCAATGGACTTACTCAAACTTAAAAATTAATCCACTAATTACTAAAAATCTTGAGATATTTGAGTTTTATTTTACAACTCGATTTTAACTTGAAATTTTTTAAGTTGAGTTTATGAAATTACAACTCAAAGTCAATTTGTATCAAATTTTTTGAATCAATTCAAGTCGAAAAATAATTTTTTTTCGAATCGAATTGAGTATTGTTCACTTATAGTTGGTTAAATCTAACTTTTAAATCCTAAACCCAACATAATCACTTATTGTTATGGACCCAAAATGAAATAAATGTTGTTAATTATGTTGGGTTAATTGGTGGGAAAATTTAGCATTTAGGTTATGTTTTGAGGGTTTAGGGTTGTTGCTTCAAGTTTAGTTTGTTATGATAGATTTTGATAATGAATTATGAATTTGGGGTTGGGGTTGGGGTTGGGGTTGTAACTGAAGTATTTTGAAATTTGAGGTTTAGAATGTAATTGAAGCATTTTGGATTTTAGGGTTTAGAATGTAATTGATGATTGTGTTGCAAGTTTTAAAAGTTGGGGAACCTAAATGCAAGCGCCTGAAAAGTTTAGTGACCATTTATATAATTTACCCTAACAGCAGTGAAACGACCGTTACGTCAGGGGACCATATTGCAAGCGAACTAAATGTTTGGTGATTGTATTGCAAGTTTTAAAAGTTAAGGGACCTAAATGCAAATATTTGAAAAGTTTAGTGACCATTTATATATTTACCCTAAAATTAATAGTTTAGAAATTAAACTTGTAGTTTACTCAAAGGTGATCTTCTTTTCTTACCAACCGAACCGAACAAGAGTTGAAGACTTGAAAGGATCCCACCCTTTTGGCGTTCACCACGTGTCCTTTCTTAAATGGTGCTTACGTAACCGCATGCATGTGGGTGGCGTCTGGTCTAAATAATTTATCCTTGTACTAATACAAATAAATCTTATTTTAATTGATATTATTATACTTAAAAACAATAATTTTAAATATATTTAAATGGATATTTTTTAAGAATAAAAAATTAGACAAATATGCTATAAGAAAAAAAATCCATATTCACATTTTATTTAAATCTAAAGTCCTATATAAATTCCAATTGAGTTTTAAATATGCCCTAAACTTGGACTGAGGAGTCACATCTGACCTAAAGTTTTGTGTACAAAAAAAAATCTATTGCTCCTTGTTTAAATTATATAGTAACAAAATAAAAGTAGAGAGATTAATTTATACAAATAAATACATTATAAGATCTATTCATATATTGCATAAATATGATATAAACTTGAAATTTTTTGATATGATTTAAAATAAAAGCAATTTAAGAAATTAAATTAATGTTAAGTTGGATTTTGTGAATAATTAGGTCAGATCAGATTTAATATAAAAATATTTGACTTAAAATAATAATATAATTATTCTTTTAATAGTTTAAAATAATTAAGGTTGTTGGTTAACACTTTTGACTTCATCGTACCAAATCTATCAAAGATTTTAAATTTTTTATTTCGTCATTTTATTAAATAAGATTAAATAAAATTAAGAATTTATCAAACGATTTCAGTGATTAAAGGAGAGTTATTTTTTAAAAAATATTAAATTCTAGTAATTACGTTTGTATGTTTATTGATAATGATTAAGAAAGATTATGAATAAATAATATCATTATAATTATTAAGATTATCGAAAAGGATTAAATAAAGTTAAAAATTGGATATTATTAATCTGGGTAGCTAATTTTAAATGAATATTATAACAAATTATTAGAGAATGATATTTTCATCCAGATTTATTTTATTTACAATATTAAAATTTTATTTAAAAAATTTAACATATAGTCGTTTAAATGTAATTGTTGACGTTGAGTATAAATATTACTTATAAGCAGTGATGAAGTTAGAAAATTGTTGTTGGACCAGTATAACGGTGCAAAATTTTGGACCACAACTAAAGAATTTCATTTTAAAAGACTTAAATTGAACTATTTATAATTAGAAGGGATCAAAACTATAATTATACCATTTAACCAATGGACCAAAATAAACTAATCAAATAAATTGTTAAATTCAACTAAATTTATTTGATTAATTGGATTTAACTGATCATCTTCTCACCACTACACTTCACCCTGAATTATGTCTAAAAAGTTCCGTTTAAATAAATTGAAATTTCAAAATATATAATTTTATTTTGAAGTCATAAAAAGGATAAATTATGTATTTAGACCTAAATTATCAGTTTTACTCCACTTTAGTACCTAAATTTTTAAGTTTTTAAAACCATACCTAATTTTTAATTTTTATTTCATTTTAGTACCCCTGTTAAAAAGTTAATGCGTTTAGTACCTAAACTATCAATTTTGATCTGTTTTAGTACTTAAACTTTCAATTTGTTTCAAAACTTAACGTTACATTTTTAACATGAATACTAAAATGAAACACAAACTAAACGTTACACATAATTTTTAATAAATTAAAAGTTTAAGTATTAAAACAAACCAAAACTGATAGTTTATGTACTAAATATGTAATTTATCCTAAAAACTATAAATGGGGATGGACTTTAATGGGCTTGGTCTTGATTTGGAAGACTAAAATATTTGTCTGGCCTTGAATCTTAACCCCACTTTCAGATCCAGCTCGTCGTCCCAACTTCACCTTCCAAGAACCAGCCTTTCCCCCGTTCCTCAGACCTCACCATAGT